CTTCAGGGGAGAGTGAAACCTTGTTGCACCCCGAGGCGGTTGACTACCTCAACACGATCAACGGCCTCGACCAGCCCACCAAGCAAGGATGGGAACGTGTCTTGGATGCAGGAGACGCTCTACTTTGTGCAGCTGGCGGAGTTCAAGAAGCGGCTCAGTGGCTATGGGACGCACGAGCAACCCATGGGCTGGCAAATCTGAGAGGAGTCGAGGACCCGTGCCTGGATAAGATCTTACACCCAGACCTTCTGGCCTACCTGAGACATGTGAAGAGGCATGGCATGGAGGCCCGACATGTGGGGCCCCGAGAGCGGGCGACGGCAGGGCTGCACCCGAATGCAAAACGGAACCTGGAGCAGGTCTATGCCCAGATCTGGAAAGACGTCAAGAAACATCGGGTGTTGGTTGCAAGCCAGGATCATCCCAAACTGGGCAACACTATGGCTTCCCCTTTCGAAGCTGTCCCAAAACTTCTACCAGATCGCTCAGTGTCGAATGAGGTGAGGGTGGTGCATGACCAGCGACCCGTCAACCAGGGCACACACAAGGACTTCCACCCGCCGGCTCTGCAGCCCACACACGACCAGATTGCTAGAAGGGTTCTGTTCTTGAAGCATCGCTACCCGGGGTGCCAGGTCCACATCGCCAAGAAGGACATCTCTGGGGCTTTCCGCTTGCTTTGGGTGGCACCCGCGGATGTGGAGCTCTTCGCGGGGGACCTCCCTTGGAAGGATGCAGCAATGCCGGATGAGGAGGGCCACAGCGGAGAGGTACGTGGACGCCCACTCACCGTGCTCTACCTCGTGTCCTCTTTTGGGTTCTCGGGCTCTCCGGGGGAATGGACCCCGTGGGGAAGAGCCACGGAGGAATTCCATAGAGCGCATCGACCTGGACTACCTCGCAGAGACGGGGCTTTGGGTTTTGACTGCAAGATCCTGGTCGACGATGCGGTGTTGGTTGAACCACTCTTGGGCTTGAGACCTTGGATCTCAGCTGCATGCTATGAGACAGGCGTCAAACAGATGTTGGGAAAGGAGGCTGTGAACCGGGAGAAGGACGCAATCGAGGGACAGTTCAAGGAGGAGCAGGTGATCTGGGGACTGACTATGAACGCGGCTTCGGAGAAAGCTTTCTTGCCAGAGCGGAGGATCCTCAGAGGGTCATATTTGTTGGGGGACAGTGCCTTCGACGCGGGGGAGAAGTGTGTGACAGTCCGCCAGGTTCAGCAGTTCAGGGGCATCACGACTGGTTGGGCGATTGTGGTGAGGGGCCTGGCGAATGAGCTCAAGGCGGCGGACATTTTTCTCTCCAACGACGAAGGGGATCTTCCAGCTCGGCCTCGAAAACTGGGCTACAAGAACGAACTCTTGGAGGTGGAGGATGCCTGGGAAGACCTTTGGAGCCTGTTTGAGGTTTGCAGATGGTTGTGCGCCAGGTCCGACAGGTGGGAGACGCGTTTTGGCACCACCTTGAAGGAGCTCCTCCCTGTGAAGGAACGATTGAGCCTCCCGAATGAGTGGAAGGAAACTGTGTGGGTATCCTCAGACGCTACTACGCAGGTGATTGGGGCCATCGACTGGACCTTTGGGGCAGCCGCTAGGGCAACAGTCACGGAGCTAGAGCCATGGCTGATGGGGGTAGCAGAACAAGAGATGCAGGAGGACGGAGACATGAGGGTTCACATCTCGGAGATGCTTTCGCTGGTGGCCTTTGTGTGTGAGCGTGGGCCTCTTTGGAAGGGGAAGGTGGTGCTCTACGCCGGGGACAACTCCACGGTCAGGCAGTGGGTCTGCAAACGTCAGAGTGGGTCACGGGCGGGCCGACTACTAGTCCGAGTCCTGAACCTTTGCGAGATGAACTACGGATTCACCCTGGTGGGGGGGTGGTGGAGGACCTTCCACAACGTCGACTCCGATTACATCACCAGGTGCAATACGCAAGAGTTTGAGGAGATGCTCGTGAAGAAGGGTTGGGAGAAGGTCGAGCTGGGCCCGGCGATCTCCAAGGCCATTGAGGACACCGCTCGGTTTGGACCCTGCTTCCTGTCCTGACAGGACCCGGAGGACCGACAGGTGATGCTGCAGTTGAAGGAGAAGAGGCTCAAGCGCTTTGTCGACAAGCCCTTGGGCATTCCCTGGGACAAACTCAGAGTTATCGAGCTGGCTAGCGATGATAGATGGCTGAAAGACTTTGAGAGTTTGGCCCCTGAAGGACATTCCAAGATCGGAAGGACCCGAGTCGTCATCGTCGCCACCTTGCCGGTCGACGAGAAAGGGATCCTGGTGGACAAGTTCATCAAGGAGGTCTCTCGATGGCGACCCTACGTGGTGATCTGGGAGGGGCCAAGGTGCGCCCCCTGGGAGAAGGCACTCGAAGGTTTCCGAGCCAACGGCTTGGGTGGTGTGACGTTTGAGTTCGTATCCACAGAACTGGGGGAGTACCTCGCACGCCGAAGGCAATGCCTGGTAGGGGCGCGCTTCGACCTGACGGAGGACATCGTGAAGAGGTGTTTGGTGAAGACAGTGACTGCTCCGCCTTTGGGGGCAGCCGTGGGGAGAGCCAACCAGAGCGAGGACCTGGTTTGGAGAAAGCCTTTCAAGATGGTCATTGAGCCGGGCATCCCGCGGGCGCCTTTGCTACCGCAGGTGGTGGGTCATGTTTGGGAGTCACCTGAAGGTGAACGAAAGAACGTGCACGGGCTGGCAGGTCCAGGGCGCTGGCCGCTGAGGTACAATGACGGGGAGTTCGAGGTGCTGGAGGTCTTTGATCGTCGAGGGCGACCGGGCCATCTTCGAGTGCTTCAACCACTTGAGGTCTGGCAATGTCAGGGGAGGTCCTGTGAAGCGTGGGACGAGCTCCTTCACCAGGGGAAAACGGTGCAGGAGATAGCGAACCAGGGCAACAGGGCGACGGGGCTTCAGGTGGCATCTAACCTCCTGGTGATGGCTGGAGCTCTGGTCGAGTTCGGGGAGATCCTCGAAGACGATCACAATGCAGGGGCATTGGGCTATGAGCCGTATGATTTGTCCATGGCCAAACTTCTGGCATGGCTGCGAAAGTGGAAATGGCGCCATTTTGGTGTAGGTGATCTTCACGGAGGTGATGGGCGTGCCGGAGGGGACATCCACAAACGCATAGTTTCGAGAGCGGGGGAGGCTTTATGGGTTTGGTGCCTGGAGATTGAGTCCGAGGAGAACCACGACGAGAGCGAGATCGTGGAGACCTTCAGGGACACCTCAGCGGGGGGGGAGACGACCCAAGTTGACGAAGCCGGCCCATCTACCTGCAGGGCAACATGTGTTGCTGGAGCCAAGGAAGGTGCCTTTTGATGGGGCAATCCAAACACAGGTGGAGGAGTGGCTTGAAGAGAACATCGCAGGTAGCAAGGCTACGAGTACCCTGAGAATGTACCGGTCGGCATGGGAAAAATGGGAGGCCTGGGCATCCCGCCAAAGATGGCCTTCGTGCTACCTCGACGTGAAGGGCGACAAGCTTGCGAATGAGGACAAGCTCTTGGCGTTCCTCGGCTACTTGGGCTGGCTTGGTTCCACGGCGGCCTCCATCAAGCAGGCTTTGTTCGCGGTGAAGGACGGTCACAAGCGTGGAGGAGCAGGCGACCCGACCGAAGGCATGTTCAGGGTGTGGATGCTGGTCACGTCACTAGATCGACATGCTGAACGAAAGCCAAGGAGACTGGGGGTGACACCAGGCATGCTGTTGTGGATTGGCAGGAGCCTGTGCAACAGCGACTTGTTCGGAGAGGACCAGGTCGACAAGGCAATGGTGCAGGCTGCGCTTTTGGTGGCTTGGTTCTTCATGCTCCGAGCCAAGGAGTACTGTGACTCAGGAGGTGTTGATGCACACATGATCCTCCGAGGCATGGACGTCCGACTCACGAAGGACGGCTGTGATGTGAAGACAGGAGCGAATGAGGTGACCATTCAGTTCCGCAAAACAAAGGCTGATCAGGAGGCTTTCGGGTCGTGCAAAAACATGGGGGCCACAGGTGAACTTCACCTATGTCCAGTGCACGCTCTCGAAGAGCTACGTGAAGTGGCCCAAAGACGGTTTTCCCCGGGACCTGAAGCTCACCTACCTCTGTTCCGGTGGGGCAATGGGACAACCCTTCGTCGAACAGAAGTACAAGCAGTACTCCAGAAAGCAGCAAGAGCGGAAGGGCTGCCTGAAGATCGCTTCATGAGCCACAGCCTTCGAATCGGAGGAGCAAGCGCCCTGTTCCAGGCCTCAGGAGAGATCGAGTTGGTTAAGAGAATGGGAAGGTGGAGCAGCTCCGCGGTGCAAAGGTACCTCTATGATGGGGGCGAAGTGCTGAAGGAGTTGTCGGGCCGGATGGCCAGGGTCGACAAGAGGATCCACTATACGTAGTGGACGTTTTTGGTCCTGCGCTGGCGTTGTGGGGGGGTTGTGGCTGATGCCATGATCGAAGAGACCCGCAATGCCGCCAAAAAGAGCAGTGGCGCATGGACACGTAGCGGGTTCCAAAGTAGGAGCTTCGTGAAGCGTTGCTTTTGAAGCAGTTGTGGCCACGCCGGCCTTTGGAGGTTCAAGAGGACCTGAATGGTCCTGGTTTTTTCCAGGGCCCACCCTCAGCCTCCCTGGGTTGTGGCTGATGCCATGATCGAAGAGACCCGCAATGCCGCCAAAAAGAGCAGTGGCGCATGGACACGTAGCGGGTTCCAAAGGGCACATAAAAGGGGCTGGGGAAGAGGAGTAGCTTAGACTAGCCGGTGGACATTTTTGTTGTTGAAAGCACTCCCAAACATTTGCCCACCGCTTTTTGTTGCGTTTCTCACGAGTCACATGAGCTCCTTTTTTGGCTCAAACATGGGTTTCTCGAAGATAGATACCGCATCCACGTGTATATGACATCCTATGACCAAGTCTGTACCGCATATCATCGCATTTCTATGGACTGCCCCACCTCCGTTGGCGGTCACCGCCCTCCCCGTGGGATCGTCGCACGCGTCGATTCGTCTGAGGTGCACTATGTGGATCGCCATCAGAAGATGCGTTTCGAGTACGAGAAAGGGACGAAAGACCTGGAGGCCAGGGAGGAAAGACTAGTGGGACTGGGATCTTCCTTTCTGGAACAGAGATTAGACTTGCGCTTTTTCGTTGTTTCTTTTGGGGGAAGAGATTTGGGCTGTCAGGATATCTGGATCGATGAACTGGAAGGAACAGGATGGTCTGCCACCAAGGCTTAGCTGGCTAAGAGTATCTAAGAGATTCTAACTTCATTTTGGAGAGTTTGGCAACATCCGCAACATGTGTTGGGCATCCATTTGCTTTGGGAGATTCAACTATCATGGTTTAGCTTTGGGCATGCTTTGCAGGGTCTGCTGTCTGTTCAACCATGTTCAACCAACAGGAACACGCTTCAGCTGGTGATGTTCGAGGCGTTAAAAAAGCATCCTTACGTAGGTCGCCCCCAATAGCGACGGCCTCCAACCTAAGAGCGATGGCCTCCAACCCAAGAGGGATGGCCTCCAACCCAAGAGCGATGGCCTCCAACCCAAGAGCGATGGCTTCCAACCTAAGAGCGATGGCTTCCAACCTACTAGAGATGGCCTCCAACCTACTAGCCATGGCCTCCAACCTACTAGCGATGGCCTAAGAGCGATGGCATCCAACCTAAGAGCGATGGCCTCCAACGTACTAGCGATGGCCTCCAACCTACTAGCCATGGCATCCAACTTACTAGCGATGGCCTCCAACCTAAGAGCGATGGCCTCCAACTTACTAGCGATGGCCTCCAACCTAAGAGCGATGGCCTCCAACTTACTAGCGATGGCCTCCAACCTAAGAGCGATGGCCTCCAACCTACTAGCGATGGCCTCCAACCTACTAGTGATGGCCTCCAACCTACTAGCGATGGCCTCCAACCTACTAGCGACGGCCTCCACCCTAAGAGCGATGGCCTCCAACCTACTAGCGATGGCCTCCAACCTAAGAGCGATGGCCTCCAACCTAAGAGCGATGGCCTCCAACCTAAGAGCGATGGCCTCCAACCCAAGAGTGATGGCTTCCAACCTAAGAGCGATGACCTCCAACGCTTCCAACCTAAGAGCGATGGCTTCCAACCTACTAGAGATGGCCTCCAACCTACTAGCCATGGCACCCAACTTACTAGCGATGGCCTAAGAGCGATGGCCTCCAACCTAAGAGCGATGGCCTCCAACCTACTAGCGGCCTCCAACCTAAGAGCGATGGCCTCCAACCTAGGAGCGATGGCCTCCAACCACTAGCGATGGCCTCCAACCCAAGAGCGATGGCCTCCAACCTGAGAGCGAGGGCCTCCAACCTCAGAGCGATGGCCTCCAACTTACTAGCGATGGCCTCCAACTTACTAGCGGCCTCCAACCTAAGAGCGATGGCCTCCAACCTACTAGCGGCTTCCAACCTAAGAGCGATGGCCTCCAACTTAAGAGCGATGGCCTCCAACTTACTAGCCTACTAGCGATGGACTCCAACCTAAGAGCGATGGCCTCCAACCTAGGAGCGATGGCCTCCAACCACTAGCGATGGCCTCCAACCCAAGAGCGATGGCCTCCAACCTGAGAGCGAGGGCCTCCAACCTCAGAGCGATGGCCTCCAACTCACTGGCGATGGCCTCCAACTTACTAGCGGCCTCCAACCTAAGAGCGA